GGCTTTCAAAAGTGTGATAACGAAAGTTCAGAGGCATTATGTTCCTGTTAGAATGAAGGGTAAGACTGGTAAGAGTAGAGAACAATGGATGACCAAAGATACTGAGGTTCTAGTCAAGAATAAGAAAGAATCATATATGAGATATAGATAACTGGGATCAAATATATCTCTTGAAGACTCTAAAGAGTTTTGGGCATTCTTAAGAGGGAAATCAGGAGGGCAAAGAGGGGATATGAGATCATCTTGGCAGATAAGGTTAAGGATAATCCAAAGAGATTCTAAAAGTACATTAAGAGCAAAAAGGGGGAGAGTGGGGGCCTCATGTCTCAAAAACTTGATTGAGTTTTTTGAGGAAGTAACCAAAAAGATTGATGAGGGCAGAGCGGTAGACATTGTTTACACAGATCTTAGTAAAGCCTTTGACAAGGTTTCACTTGGTAGACTTTTTAGGGATTCAGGGTGAGCTTGCCAATTGGATACAAAATTGGCTTGATGGTAAGAGACAGGGTGGTGGTGGAGGGCTGTTTTTCGGACTGGAGGCTTGTGACCAATGGTGTTCCACAGGGATCAGTATTGGGTCCACTTTTGTTTGTCATTTATGTAAATGATCTGGATGAGAATATAGGAGACATGGTTAGTAAGTTTGCGGATGACAACAAAATTGGTGGAATAGTGGACAGTGAAGTAGGTTATCTAAGATTACAAAGAGATCTTAAACAGTTGGAACAAAGGGCTGAGGAGTGGCAGACGGAGTTTAATTTGAATAAGTGTGAGGTGTTGCATTGTGGTAAAACAAACAGGGCAGGGCATTTATAATTAATGGTAGGGCCTGGTTAGGGTGTTTTGGAATAGAGAGGCCTCGGCATTCAGGTACATAATTACTTGAAATTTGCATCACAGGTAGACAGGGTGGTTAAGAAGGCATTTAGCAATTTTGCCTTCATTGCTCAGAGCTTTGAGTATCGGAGTCGGGACTTCATGGTGAGGTTATACAGGATGTTGGTGAGGTCTCATCTGGAGTACTCTGTACAGTTCTTGTCGTCCCTGTTATAGGAAGGATGTTATTAAACTAGAGAGGGTTCAGAAAAGATTTACCAGGAAGTTACAAGCAATGGAGGGTTTGAGTTATAAAAGTAGTGTGGTTAGGTTGGGACTTTTTTTACTGGAGCGTAGGAGGTTGAGAGGTGAGCCTATAGAGGTTTATAACATCATGAGGGGCATAGATAAGACGAATAGCAAGTGTCATTTCCCAAGAGTGGGAGAGTTCAAAACTGGGGAGCATATTTTTCAGGTGAGGGGAGAAAGTTTTAAAAAAGACATGAGAGGCAACCTTTTTACACAGTGTGTTTTTCATGTATGGAATGAACTGCCCAAGGATGGAGGTATAGCTACAACATTTAAAAGACATTTAGATAAGTACATGAATAAGAAAGGTTTGGAAGGATATGGGCCAAATGCAGGCAAATGGGACTAATTTAGTTTGGGAACATGGTCAGTGTGGACTAGTTGGAGTGAAGGTTCTGTTTCATTCTCTATGACTTTATGACTCTATGAGTACTGTGTGCTGTTCTGATCTCCATGCTGTAGAAAAAAATACTAAGACAATTAGAAAGGTATCGCGTAGATAAATTAGGTTCATTGACTTGGGGCCTGAAAATTGGCTCTTTTTAGGGAATGCTTTAACAGGGAAATAGTAAATTACGTAAGAATGAAACATAATAAGACCAGATCGAATCCAGTTAAACTCCTGTGAAGCACTTTGGGCTATTGATTGCAGTAGAGATGTCAATGTTATAAATGTTAGAGATGTTATAAATTGGAGGTTGGAATGGTATAAATGCATGCAAGGATCCTTGTGGTGCAATGGTAGTGTCCCTACATCTAGACCAGGAGACCCATGTTCAAGTCTCACCTGCTCCAGAGCTGAGTAATAATATTTTCGATGTACATGCAAGGGTCCTTGTGGCACAGTGGTAGTGTCCCTGAGCAAGGAGTTCAAGTCCCAAATGCTCCCTGGCTGTGTAATAACATGACTGAAAAGGTGATTTAAAATATCTTACATAAGAAGCCTTGTTCCAGGCAGTCCTTCATGATTCAGGCTGACTTGGTTTGTCCTGAAATAAAAACTGAAAGAACTGCAGATGCTGTAAATCAGGAACAAAAACAAAGTTGCTGGAAAAGCTCAGCAGGTCTGGCAATGCTGTGAAGGATAAAACAGAGTTTTATCCTTTGGGTCCGGTAACCCTTCTTCAGTACTGATGGGAGTAAACGATAGGATAGAGAACTCCATACCCCATCCCCCTCCCCTTTTTTCTGCATATAAACTGACGTTTTCCCAGCCATCATCCGTTCTGAGGAAGGGTCACCGGACCCGAAATGTTAAGTCTGTTTTATCCTCCACAGATGCTGCCAGACCTGCTGAGTTTTTCCAGCAGTTTTGTTTTGGTTTGCCCCTAGTTTAATAGGTTCTGAAATAGATAGTAAGTTGAGTGCATGATCTACCATGTGTAGGGCAGGTGTTGCATGGATGTTTTCCTTTTTAGTCAACTTCTAAATGCTTCCTTGTCACCCAGAAATCTGGGGCATGCTTATCTCTGTTCCAAAGGCAACCAAGTTCTGAGGGCCGGATGTTGGCTCATGACTTGAACTGCCAACAACCTGAAACAGCTCTAAGACCTTAGTAATGGGATTGGGAATTCCAGATTGGAACCTGACTGCCATTTCTCCACCTCCGCAAACTCTGGAAAAACCCAGTGCTCGTCAATGCTTAAGACCAACTTGGTAATTACAGGGAAGGGGGTAAAAGAGCTACGGGAGCGCTGTTTGTATGTAGAATTAGGACGATAGTCCATGTGGAGGCAAAACAGCCTGTTTCCATCTTGCAATATCTGCATTATTCTATACAACATTAGAGTTTGGACACATCTAATTTTCTAATCATATATTCATCATCCAAAACGCATTACTAATATGTAAACAATGCATTCCAGAGGGAGAGTAAAGTCAGAAATGATCTTTTAAGGGTTTATACTGGTCAATCACCAACACCTGACAGTTCTTTTTAAATTTTATGTTGTTGATTACTTCATATTATCGTAGTATTTCTATTCTGTCTGCCAACTGTATCTAATCTTTGCTTTCTATCCAACACTATTTCAGTCTATGTTTCAAACTTTCTCTCACGTGGCTCATTAGTATCTGGAACTCACAATGACCAGCTTTGATCTCTTCCTCATGAGGCTCATTTTCATTTTCAGTGTCAAGCAATGTGTATCACTTTCCACAGGCCTTCCCATCATGGATTTAAGCCGGGCTGCAGAATAAATACGGCTTGATCTCCACCTATTACCATCCCACCTGATCAAATGTTTGACACAACCAATCCCACAACAAGGGACCATAAAAGTTCTGCCCAGAGCTTCTTAATAGGATGAAGCAGCTTTGACTCATAGATTGGTTGCAGCACAGAAAGAGACCATTCACCCCATTGTGCCCCTTGCCAGCTCTCCACAAGAGCAACTGAATTAGTTCCATCCTCCCAACCTTTCCCTGTAGCCACAATTGATTCTGCCTCCCCATTCTCTCAGGCAGTGCAAACTTGCTCCTAACCATTTGCTGTGTTTAAAAAAAAAGTTTTCTTCATGATCCCATGGGATTCACTGGACTCATTCCTAGGATCAGAGTCATATCTTATGAGAAAATATTGAGCAGGTTAGACCTGTATCTGTTGGAGATTAGAAAATTGAGAGGTGATCTTATGACAACATGTTCAATCTTAAGGGGACTGGATAGGTCGGATACTCAATGGCTGTTCCCTCTTGTAAGGGAGACTAGATAGAGGGAACACAACTTAAAAATAAGAGATCTCCCTTTTAAGACAGAAATGGGGAGAAATGGTTCTCTCGATGGCCTGCTTTAATGTGGAATCCTCTTCCCAGAAACTAAATGGGTTGAGACTTTAAATTTCTTCAAGGCTAAGTTAAATGGGTTTGTGGTAGACAATGGAGTTAAGGATTATTGCCTGTGGGGATCAAAGTGGATCTGAGACCACAATCAGTCATGATCTTATTGAATGTTGGAGCAGGCTCAAAGGGCTGATCCTGCCCCTAAATCCTAGTTCCATTGCTTCTCTTGCCAATCACTCTGAATTGGTATCCTTTGCACTTTTGTGAATTAGGACAGGGGTCAGAGATCAGATTAGATCCTCTCAACTACCCCCGCTGGGTTCAGGGATTAGACCTACTGCTCCTGTAGCACCCTCTCCCACCTGACAGAAAGCCCAGCTTGTCAATCAGAGTGGCTACCCTGGCAGGGACCCTGTCAGTGATTTCAGGAGCCCGCTGTGGGTTAAAGCAGCAAAAGTCACTCTTTGATCCTGAACCTAGCCTGCTGCTTAAATGAGCCACCAAAGGACATATCTCAGTAGTCTGGTGATCAAACTGAAATATCATTAAAGGACTATCTGTAAAAAAATTGTTATGCCTTATGCTTCCACAATAGCAAAAAGTAAGGAATAAGGTTGATGATTTACAGCATTAAGTTCACTCTTTCACAAACCATGTACAATTTGGACGAATGTGCATTCTGCATGCTTTGTGATGGAACTTTTAACGGGACTGAATTTTCAAAATGCCAAGTTTTCTTGAAATGTCTCCCTGACCTCCCCAGTGGATGTTGATCAAACAGTGCAGCCTACTTTAGTCAGTTCTGATTTGGTGAATGTGCCAAATTTTTACAAATTTCATCAGCATAAAATTCATTGTGTCATGTAGTGAACAGACTGTGCAAAATGATACAAATAGCACCCATGTCGTGTTTCATTCCCCAGCCTTGCAGAATAATGCGCACTAAGTTGTTTGTTTAATTAGAAATCCTGATTTTATTCTTGCTTTGAAGTATGTTGACCTGCTTTTTTGATAAATTGCCATCTCTGGAACTTCCAATTTTTAAAGTTCCTTGAAACAACATAACTGTTGACACTGTCCTGTGAATCCGAACAGATTCTGGTTAGCTGTTCTGGATCTGAAGAAAAGGCCTATTCGTGAGGTGCCGTCACGTGTTCAAGAAATCTGGCAAGAATTTTTAGCCCCAGGAGCTCCCAGTGCCATTAACGTGGACTCCAAAAGCTATGATAAGACCACACAAAATGTAAAAGACCCAGGAAGATACGCATTTGAAGACGCTCAGGTAAGCAGATTAAACACTAAAGTGATGAAACTTAGATTGACACTAATATGGGAAACATGCAATTGCATAAGTAGTATGTGCCCAGTGAAAATATTGTCATTTGTCACACTGCACACTGGTGGTATATAGTTATTTTTGCATTAATGGAGACCGATAACAACTTCCCTCTGGCTGTGCCATAAAACTGAGTATAAACTACTGACTGAACATAGTTCTGTAATTGTGACTCGTTCCATTGAGTGGTAGATTTGATGCCCACCATCCTGATTTTTCCACACAGGGCCAATCAAATGGTGAATTATGTCAAGTTGCTCCTGAGATTAAGTTTCAGGCAACCCAATCAAGAGGCATGAGAGCACATTGCCAAGCAGTCTATTTTGGCTGGAGATTGACATTTGATACGTGGAGTACTAAAAAACTGTAACACTGCATTAAAAATTGAGAAAACAAAAATAGGATTTCTATACAACCTGTATACCATTGAACCCTACAGACTTAAGTTTACTCTTGCAAATGTACTTTACTAAGTGCAATAATTAATCACAGTGACTAAACATCAATTATAATAAAAAAGGTCATTAATATTTCACCAAATTTTTTCGTCTGATCTTCTGCCCCTCAATTACATCAGCCGCCTCCTTTATTTATAGCTTCCTTTTATTTAAACTGTCACAGTGCTAATGACACATAGCCGCTGCTTTTTACTTTAGCAGAAATGCAATTATCTGCATGGGTGTCGTGGAAAATTAGTTTAGCTTATCCATAAATTTCTAGTACAATCTGCAACAAGAGGATCTTTTGAGTCCATATAGTGAGTGGTATCCCAAGTCAGACATTCAGTGCCAAGAACTCTGAGGTCAGATATAGTACAGCCAGAGGCAAGAGAGAGCTATATAGTTAGACTACACTGTAGCATGAAAACACACTTTAGGTGCACTCCCGTAACATAGCCTGCTCATGTTTACACTTGATAAATTGTTCTTTTAGGAGCACATTTACAAACTGATGAAAAGTGATTCCTACCCTCGTTTCATACGTTCCAGTGCCTACCAGGAGCTACTTCAGGCTAAAAAAAAGGTACTTGTACATTCTTGTCTTTTTCTTTGTACCTTATCCAGCAAACCTTAAATGATATGCTAGAGATATAGGACAAATGGTAGGTATTGGAGCACAACAAATGGCAATGAAAATCACTTTTTCATCTTTTGAACTGAAATTATCACACATGTCTTTGGCTTGTAATTAATTTATATTGATGGGAACTTTTATTTTATTGATTTAAATGACATTGCACTTTGATTGCAATGTGTTTTATTTGCTACAGTTACGTAGTAGCTAGTATCACAGTTTTAAAATTATGCCAATTTTATTTTCATTATCCAATAATACATACATAATTAAATAGCAGATGTCTTTAGCAATGTGGAAGTTTTCTGCCCTAAGCATTTGGCCTTATTCACTGAGAGCCTGTATTGTAGACCAACTTTTCACAAAGTTTCATCAGTGGGTACACCTGCAAATCTCCTACTATATCCCTCCTAGTGTACGAGGCTGCTTAATGGGAGAGTGAGTTTGTAAACCATGCCATGCAAAACTGATTTTTAAAAAATCTAAATCAAATCTCAGAAGTGTGTGCTTAACAAATTTTGACGACACATTTTTCATGGATACAGTCATTGGTCAGATCTACAGGTTTTACATCTTGGGTGTGTTACCATTTTGGTTCAAGAAGCACTGAGTTCTGGCTACTATACATATAGGGAAGTTTTAACATGAGAACAACTTATTTGAGGCAACCAGTCTGTGTCAGTGACTACCCTCCAATGCATGTACATTGTTCTAGTGCATGCTGTTCCCATACTACCTTTCCTTCATCCCCCTATCCAAACCTATCTTGAAATGTTGACATAATTTCAAATGTTATTAGTTGATACAGAATTTAGGATCATGTCTCACAATTCTCTGTGCAAATAGGTTTCTTCTACCCTCTGTTCTAAATGTTGTATGTTTAGTCATGTATCTGTGATTACACCTATTTCTTGGCCCTCAAGTGGAGGAAGCAGTCTGCTTCTATTCTGTCCCATTCTTCCATCATTATAGATTCATTTATCACATCGCATAAACTGTGTTCTATGGCTAAAAGATTAATTTTATTTTACTGTTTCTTCTTTTTCATAATTCTGCATCACAGGTAGCATCTGAGTGAGTCTGCGTTGTGCCCTGTCTAAATCCTCACTATCCTTTCTATAGAGAAGAGTCTAATACTAGACAGTACTGAGACTGAAATATTATAAAAGTTTAATACTAACTTATCATCAGCACTTGCCTTTTATACTCTATACTTCCTGAAATCAAGCCTAGAATTCTGTTAGTTCCTTTTGTTTTTATTGGTGCTTTCATCCTAAGGCTAGTACTATTAATATTCTCTATTGGTTACCACTGTAGAAAGTAAATAGCAGAGAGTGTATCTCAGGGATTTGGAAGTATTCAGGCTGTTATTTTGTCTGTCTTAATGTAAGTGGGCAGAAAATCATGAGTGTGATTTCCCAAGATGAGTTCCTGATAAAACCAATCTACTCTGAGTGCACCCAGTTCACAGAATTGACCATTAGGTGTCGTGCTGTGGTAAAAGTGTTCATAAAAATTTCTTCTGATACTTCTGTAAACATGTTCATTTCGGATATGTCTATGATTTCATTAGAAATAGCAAACGGAGGAACTTTTTGCAAACACATCTGCAACATCACCACACATAACTAACCAGAAGGCTTTTGTAATGTAAAAGTCTACGAATGAAAGCAATAGATCCCAATCTTGCCTGGGCTGGATAGCTGAGTGGCAATGAGGATATAATTGAAAAATAAAAAAATTCAATGTTTGTCAATCCTGTGGGAATTTCAGAACGCTGAAAGGAGGGGTTTGCAATGCTGAGTGAAGGAGGGTGTGTTCTGCGATCCTGCGGTAGGTGCACAATCCTAAGGGTTTAGGGAATACTCCAGAAAACATTCTTTTCTTTTCTCTCTATGTATTATATACAGGTAGTCTCTTTCTCTCTCTGTCTCTGTCTTTCTCTCTCTCTCTCTCCCTTTCCCCTGCTGTTGCTTTCCCACTCAGTAAAACATTTTTATCCTGTGGTTTTTAATCATTTCAGGTTTCTGCTTTGTGGTGTACTCATGTAGCTTGAAAGGCTAGCAAAAGACTTGTGGCTCCTACCATAATCACTGGCACCAATGATATTCTGTCGTACAATGACAGAAGAGATATTTGGTGCAAGCAATGAAGATGCAGATCATTTCATTCTTGAGTTGAGATGCTGCGCTTCTGAATTTCTTCTATCAATTTTTTTCCTCATTTATGGATAATGGATGCAAACATCTGACAACGCTGAGACCTTAATGTTTGGAGCATAAACTGTAGCAATAAACACGACTCTATCTGAACTACACAGAATTTTAACATGATACAGCTTCTTTTCAAGTCCATAAATATGATATAAAATTTTGTGCAGGATGTTTGAATCAGGCCAAACTAGACTAAATTAAGCCAGTTTAGTGGAAGATGTCAAAGTGGATGACAGCAGAGAGAAGTCATTTATATTTTCAGTTTCTAGAAATTTTCAATTTTCTACAATGGGGAAAATAGTTGTCACTTACCAATATCCAAATATAACTGAACACAGACTTGATCATTTAGAAGCGAGGAGAATTCCTGAAACTTCAGTTTTGAACCTTGCTGGTGATCTGTTACATTTGATGTCAATGCCAGGTGTGATTTGGAGTAGAAGAGTATTTCTTATTGTAACTTAGTGGTCATGTTTTGTTAGCTTTTTCGTGCAATTTGATCTGAGACTTAATCTTTATAAGGTTTTAGAGTGGATTTGTAGCTCGGGCTGTGGATGTTGTGGAACAATGAAGCAGCTCGGCGAGCCAACCAACCACAACTTAATCTTTACCCTTGTAAATCCATAAACAATTAGAGGTAGTATTGTTAATAGTAGTGGTTTGCAATGCAGAGTGATGCCAACAGCGTGGGTTCAATTTCCAGTTCAGCTGAGATGACCATGAAGGTCCCACTTTCTCAACCTCACCGCTCACCTCATGCATGGTAACTCTCAGGTTTAACCTTGCCTCTAGTAGTAGATTTGTGCACTATCGTATAGCATGTAGTGTATTCTTACATGTTTACTGCTTCATGGCTCGACTTCATTTCATTATCCTCACCAATACATGCCATGTTATTATTCAATTGTTGCCATTTCTGCCCTGATTCTTGTTTTCTTCCCAGCTGTTGATGCAGCCTATTATTTTCCTATTCATTAAGCATTTTTGTTTCCTTTGTTTGTAGTGTGTTTATGTTCCTGTATGTTCATGAGAATAGAGAATACCTGAGGATCATTTTGAGAAATATACTTACAATGCCTCAAGTTGATATTTGACGCTGAGTGAAAACTCCACAATGCATTCCCAAACAGGGAAGTTTTTGTCATATTTTATATAGAATCACAACTTATCATGGAAATGAGAGTGCTCAATTTCAGTTTCATATTTATCCCTTTAATCATGTTCTGTTTCTTACTTTATGTAGAGAGCATTTTGAAAGTCTGTGCATTCTTTCTCAACTTGAATGTTGCTACTAAGACTTGGGAGTGAAGGCAGGACTGCTGTGTTGGTGAAATGATAGTCTAGATGGTCAGCTCTAATGGACTTAAATAAAAATCATTAACTATCCCCGAGTATTCAGAATCTTTGACACAAGCTGGCTGATTTCTTTTATTCTCTCTCATCCTGAGTTGCTTGAGGCCGCATTGCTTTTACCAATCATACACAATCCTCAGAGTTGTTTCAATGGGCTGAGATTTCATCAAGCAATATATGCAGAGCTTTCTTGATTTGCGTGGTTGTCATTTTGGTAATATCATTTCAGAAACCAAAATTTAACCAATAACCCACCCTCAACTTTGCTTTCTCCTTGTTCACAGAAAAGTATGAACTTATTTTGAAGGATGTTCATAAAGGTAATATAAAAGAATAATGGCTTTTTTACTATCCATGTTTCATGTCAGCTGTAACATTATTGTGCTGTCCTTAATGTTTGAAATTATTGGTGAGACTGTGGCAAATAATTCACATTTACTCACTCCCATACTCAGTACATTTACTATCATCACTTGAACCCTTGGTCATTCCCTTCCCACCAACAATTTTCACATGGCACAGGGGATGATTAGCTGATTCAAAGAGCTTTAAGTAAGTCCAACCATCTCAGAGATGTTTCATATTGTCTTTGAAACTGATACAAGAGGACAAACCTTAATACTATAGGGGTGGCATAAAATATTTGTATTTTTAATGATCATAGGCCATCAGCATATCAAGATTCATTACTCAAAGTGTTGGCACAGCAGCAAGTCCCCAGCAAATTGTTTCAATACTTCTTTCAGACCAAATACTTGCTTGCTTTACATTTAAGTTTTCAACGTCCATCAATTCTTGTGCTGCTATTTGCCGTCTATTTTACACTTCTTTCAGATGGAATGTTAAAAGTTCTTCTCCCTGTGTGTGTTTTATGTTGCCCAGTTGACAGGCAGGGACATAGTGTAACTCAACTGAACTCAATCTCCATCATCATCACTCACCTTTCAGTGAACATGTTCCCTCTGCACATGAAGGATCATAACTTCCAATCATCCAATTCTTACCCAGTTTTTCACTCAGTGAGAAGAAGCAAATAAACAGCGAATGTTAGCCACACTTGAGATTTGAACACATGTCCAAAACTAAAGCAATCAAGTCCTTTTCATTGCATTTTGTAAAATCACTTATTTTTTCTGCCGTCGTTCATTTTTATTTATTTGATCTATCTTACATCTGTTTTCCTCTTTTTATTTATTGTCCATTTTATTAAATTTTATTTTCTATTCTTTCAGCTTAATTGGTTTCCCAGTCTGTCCTGCTGTGCTTCTCTCTCCAGTCCCGTGCCTGATATATTTTGCCGTCTCCCTTTATTCCAATTACCACATCAGTTAACCTGGAAGAGACTTTGCATTCCAGCAGTCATCAGAACCCTGGAGGGAAGCT